TACCGTTTTTTATTCTTTTCATTTTTATTGAAGTTCCATTCATGTACATATACGTACATATTGTTGCTCGGCGGAAACCGCGAGAAGGTGGAGGTCTCCCGTCAGGAGGGAAACGTAAAAAATTACATTTAATTTATTAATATAACTATAATATTTATATGAAATATTTGTATTGAAGTATATAATTTTAATACAAATATTGACAAACACAAAGACTTTTTATTATTGTAATTTAACAAATAATTGTTTAAAAATCATTTTAAAAAATGTAATTTTGTACATTTCCCTGTGTATATGTTTATATATGTGTGAAGGAAAGGAGAAAATGGGAAGGATATCTCGAGCGCACAAATTAAACTAAAAATTAAACAAATTATATAAATAAATTAAATAAGTAATTATACATATTTATAATATTTTTTACACGCTTTTAAGTGTAATGTCTCGATGGACAATATTTTATACGCACTCACCCTTTTCCTATTTAAGCGTGATGTCTTCGCCGACAATATTTTTTATACGCATTTAAGCGTAATGGTTTTTAATCCAAGCTACAATAGATGGAATAAGTCTTTAAGAAATCAGTTATGGACAAATATAAGAAGAACAATCTATAATTCTTCAATTTCTTATTAAGGCTTATTAAAAGCTTAGGGCTTAAGGCCTACTATACGGATTGTATTTAAGGAATTACGGACAATATTTTAATAATCTAATATCTTTTCAATCTGCGTACGAGAATTCAATAATATCATTAACATCTGTAGCATGTCGTTTTAAAGCAGAACAATGAAATTAATATGCATTATATTTTAAGAAATTTATTTTTTAATCATAATAATAATAATTATTATAATTGTTATTAATGACATATCTTCCTCGCTCCGTTTCCTCTTCTCTCCTCTCAACGGCGGTCGTATTCCTGTACAGTTAATTTGATTTGGAAATGTGTATAATATTTTCACTTCAAATAAATTATATACATATGAATGTTGTGTGAATAAAATTATATTTATATTTAATAAAATATTTTTATAGTTTACAAAATGTTATTAAAAATTAAAGTGTTTTTTATAAAATTATGAAAAATCTCCATTTTTTTGTATAAGAGGCATTCCACGTCAAATTCAGCACCTTTGAAATTTCATCATTTTTAATTT